TAAATCTCTTTAAAAAAAAAGCAGCCAATATAAGGTTCATGTAAAGAGGCTTAAAATATTAAAACTCAATGTACACGAAGAATAATGTTATTATTGTAAGTTGTTCAAAAAAGGTTTTGGCTTTTAATCCCTTCCGATTGCATCAAATTAGAAGACATTATTCGTGAAAATTATTTAATTCTATCGACATCATCTGATGTACACTATATGTATCATACAAAATAGTCAAAAAATTGAATTTAAACGCAAAATTTTTTAACGCGATTTTAATAAACAAGTCCGAAAGTGTTTAAAAAAAAACGTAGTAGAAAATGCTCACACTGAATTTCAAGAGTTTTATCTTAATTACACGAGATCCAATTCGGGACAAAGGATTTATCAGGAGCGAAGAGAAGATTCACGGGAAATCGTGGATCGCGCGAGTTTGGCGACAGAAGGAAAACAAATGAGAACAACGGTGGTCAAGCCGTGGTCGCGGATATTTTTCAGCTGCCTCATGGCCGGGTGCGCGATTTGTTGACCGAATGCTGGGACTTACGGACGCCAATGTTGCTGATATAGCGGGGTATTGTTAACCTGGCACAATGACCATGTTTAGCAACACCGACCGGCCGGTCGTGTTCGATTGTTCATACCACCCTCTCCCTCTTCCGCCGCGGCTGCGGTCGCTATTGCGCTATTGTCGACAAGTTGGTCCGCCGAGAACGACTGACTCTTTAAATCGATATCCATTATAGATATTTTCTGATTTGATCTCTGTAATACATTATATGCAACCAGACGTCCCGCTTTCAAAGCGATTGTTTCGTCGTTCTAAGAAAAACGTTGAAACATAAAAAAATAATTTTGTGTTATTTTTAACCCTCAACTGCAGCTATGAAAACTAATGTAAATTCTATAAAGGGTCCTGTTTAAAGTGCAGATGTACAAGATGTTCTCCACCGTATAACGATTAATAGAATCAGAAGGTTTAAAGCTTTTTTTTCCACAATTTAAAGCCTCATAAATACTAGTCATAAAGATTGTACAATTTTATCGTCCAAAATTATTTGTTTTATTTAGTTATTGAGTTAATAATATAAACGATAAAAGAGACGTTTATATTATTACATTAATTTTAATATATTATAAAAAATGTTTAATAATATTTAAATTTCTTAGTTACATTACATATATTACAATTTGCATTATGACAAACACAAGAAATTTTAATGTTTTTATGACGGGTAATGGAATTTTTTGAAAAGCATATTCTTTTTTAATAAAAAGCCTTACAAGAAACATTCATTACCTACTTATTGAAAAACAAAAAATTAATCAAAATTTAACCCGGTTGAGATAACTTTACAATAATATTTTTTCGGTGTTTTATTTAAAATATTTATTAGTATCATTACTAAATTAAAACAATGAATGTAATTTGTATTGCGTGTAAATGTATTGTGTATAAATTGATACTATTTCTAGTTTCAGTTTACAATTGCATTTCAAATCCGATAAATCGAATCGACGCTGAATTTATAGAACTGAAAACTGTATTTGCAAATTTGCATATAATATTATCAAGCACCAAAATCCGCTTTAACCTAAAATAGACATCTTTTTCTTTTTCAATCAAAATTTATTCCAATGTGTTATTTTTCCGCAAATATGAGTCCATACAATTTCGTAACTTTTCCGTACTATGGAAGGAAGTCTGCAAAATCTAGCGTGCTCTAACTTTTTCGAGAGAGATCCAGTTACACTTTCACGAAGAGTTGCTTTCCAGCAGCAACAAAATCTCAAATGTGTTTGCATCGATCTCTCGGCACTCTCGAGCGAGTAGTTATCAAAAGGCGATAAATCGCAGCGACCAAAGAGTCTTTATCCTTCGATTCGCTTATATGTATATGTTGGAGAACAGTCGGGAGAAACGCGAGAAGGAGTCCCTGTTTTGATTGGGTAATGTCAAAGCAAACTGACCCTCTCGACCCGAACTGATCTCTCTCTCTCTCTCTCTCTCTTTCTTTCTACCTTAGTCCCGTATTCGGGCTCATCCCCCAGCGTCGGTTTTACTGCCGTTTTATAGTCGTTTGTCGCGGCGAGGCGAGACAGGGGCGATTAGCACGCGGTCACGTTCCTTGCGGGGACGTTATAGCGGGACGTATAGCCGTGACTGGAAGCTCCTCGTCTCGGTACAGAACGTTCACGTTATGGCGGTTATTCCTCTTCGTATAAGGTCTGTTCTTTTTAGCTAAAATTCTTGCACGATTCATCTTTCTTCCTAGTGTTCCCTCCACGTTGGAGAGAAAAAAATGAAAAAATGAACCATGCAAGAAGTTCAAATTAAAAAAACAAGCTTTCAATGGAACTAATAGAATATCAAACAAGGGAAAAGCCTAGAGCGAACTGAAAGCAAGAGATTAGGAAGAATCATAAACGCAAAAATTTGGAGGAGAGTATATGACTTAGAAGAGGAGCAAATGGAAACTAGACACAACGTTTTGGATTAGCAGATTATATATGTTGATTTAAAATATATTATTTTTGCGCAAATAGATAAGTTCTTTATAGTTTCATAATTTTTAAATTATATATTCTATATCTACACTGTTGATCGAAAGTTTGAAAATATCTATTATATGAATATAATATATAAAAGAAGGCTCTACTTGTATAAAACAACAAAAGGCAAATGAAGAGCTAAGAGCCAGTTGTGAAACAAAGAAACTTTAATTCAAAATAATAAAAATATTACAACAAATGTTTCAACGCTGATCGGGTCATTATCAATGTTACAATAAATTATAATTATGCAACTATTTGAAATCTACAAATTTTTTTCAGTAACGTAGTCCTCATTTATGAGGATTAATTAAAATAGTCAAAGTGGTAAAATGTTGAAAGTCCATAAATAAAAAAGAACGCAGACAGTTGAAATCCATATCATAGTTATATTTAAAAATCTGAACAAGTTTGCAAATGAAGTGTTACCGAGCAAGTGATCTTTACGATGTCAAATAACGTAATCTTTAGTAATCTGACTTTTTGTTACACAACTGGCTCTTATAGCCTTTCATTTGTCTTTTGTTCTATTATATGAAATTAAAATCGAACTTATATCCATTACAATTTAACATATATATTTTTATCATTTCACACATTATTCACTCATTATTTTATAATGATATGAAAACAATATAAAATGTTTGAAAGTTTTATAAAAAATATTTTTACAAAGTTCTTTAAAAAAAAAATACTAAAGAATATCAGATATTTTTTTATCAAAATATCGCGACTTTATTAAATTTTACGCTTTTATCTGTACATATCTACACACATTCGCTTTTGTTGACAAAGTACACTTCTCAAATTTTGATGTTTTTTTTTTACCATTCGTAATATTGCAGCTATCAATAAGAAATTCAGCCCGAGGAGCACACAAAAGTCAACAAAAAAATCAAAATGACTTTTATTTAATTCTTAACATTAATAAATAGTTAAATTTTTTATATGTGGGAGACTATGGCAAAAGGAAAGATTACCGGAATACATTTAATGTCTGTACGGTGAATCGAATTGTTGATTGAAACTGGAGCAAAGATTCTATGGATGCTTTGAATTTAGTCTCTCAAATAGTGCAGAACGTACACTGAGCAAAATATTTGATCGAATTAATGGAAGTTCTGATTGAGAAAAGGACGAATGGAACAATCAGAATTTTCTGATAAATTCTATTAAAATTCTAGATAAAATAACTAGAGTTTTCATTGATATAATTAGATCAATTCTTCTGATTTGCTCATTTTTAACTAGATACTTTTCTCAGTTTAGGTAGGACTATCATGGGTAGGACGTTGTCATCTCGGTGAGGGGACCTCATAAATTATTTGGAGCTAGACTGTGGCTCCCGTCTCGAGCGACCGCTTCATATTTTAGCGTTGCCATGAGGCGTAAATGTTTACATTAAAAGCGACCCGCCGTCGCACAATATTGCCTTATCCTTTACCCCGTGACGGGCGTTGCTTGCACGCGCGAGCCCTTCGCCGCAGTCCACCGCTCGTAAAAATCCTTACCTTCTCCCTTCCCTCCCACGTCGAGCGATAGATTGGGCCAGACGAATAACATAAGGCTCCCTTCACGAATAAGTCAATCGGGAGAGGACCGCTGTCGAACAGAAGCACGTTCGTCGATTCGATCCGAGTTTAAAGCGAGACTGATTCAGCAGAACTCATTTCTAATAGACCTACAGGTCTATTGATCTCTCTCTTATATCATCCAATTTTAACTTAATTAGTAATTAATTTATCAAATAATGTTTATATGTACTATATTTTATCAACATTTATAGAATTGATTATTTCTTGCTATTTAACACACAGAGAAAAGGATTAGATACGCATTGTATAATAGATAAAAATTTTGCTGTAATAGAAATTCTTGAACTAATTTTTTCAATTAAGTTAATCAGAATTCCGTCAAAGTTGCATCTGCAATGTTTACATCTTTTTCTAGTAAATATTTGAAAATACTTGAAATATAAATATTTACGGGATATGAAATGCGTACCTTTTTCTTAAAAAAAAAAATATCGTATACGAAAATTATACTTAAGAAATCTATAACATATAATATATATTATTGAAAATTAGAAAAGTTACTTTATAAGTTATTTTTTACTATAAAATTTAAATATAAGTTCTCGTATTTTTAATTTTTAAAATATATTTTATCACTTTCTTAAATTTTGTATGATTTTTCGTACTTGATTTCTTTAACAAACACGTATAAAATAATCTAACAAATATTAAAATTTACGAATAACTTCCAACCCTGCATATACTACAGTATTTTTATACAGTTCCATATTTTTCAAGAATACAACCCCTGTACCGCTGGACAAGCAGTGCCATCTAGTTAATCAAATTCAAAGTGCGCCAAGCGCATTTGACGATGAGAGTGACATCTTTCGGCCATGACGAGTACTTGATAGTCTGCTATCACATGTATGCTTCCTAACCTATCGTAATTAGCTTATAACTTGAATCTCATTTCAACGGTGTGAAGAATTAAATATTAATTAACTATTAAAAAGGAAAATTCGCGCTGTATTAACAGCGCTTAAATGAACGTGTGTAGACATGTTAACATCAAAGGTTTTTTTCAGAAAAACGAAGGGAGGGAATATATTTAAGGTATGTAGAGGTGTCGATTTACCCTTTTTGGAATTTTCTTGTAAGAAATTTTCTAAGTATATTAATTCTGAGCATAATTAAATATGTTCAGAATTATAAACTTACATATACCATTATCTTAATTAAAAACTTTATTAATGAAAATGATAATTTTTTACTCTCTCTCTCTCTCTCTCTCTCTCTCTCTCTCTCCCCATCTTATCAGACCGTCAGAGAACATTATCTCAGAGATGATATTTACTGTGGCTCTAAAACATGTACGAAGTGCAAAGCAAGGCCTCGGGATATGATATTGGATGTGGAAAATGCTGGTGCTAAGTCTTCCTTAATCCCAAGTCCATATATTCTTGTACTTGATACAAATATAATTCTGGATCAAGTAAGTATTATAGCAAATACATCATAGTATTAACATCAATCTATATGAATTTTTTATATCAAATTGTTTAAATTTGATTTCTGATTATAGATAGACATACTAGAGGAAGATGTTATTACCAATGTGATCATCTTGCAAACAGTATTGGAAGAGATTCGGCATAAAAGTGGGACTGTGTATAAAAAATTACAACATATTATAGGGAATGCAACAAGAAAATTTTTTTTATTTGTTAATGAACATCATTGGTATGTGTACAATAATTGTTATATAAAAATTATGTATATATTTAATGATATTTTCTGTCCTTAACATTTTGTTTATAACATATTTTAGATATATTAAATTTAGATATGTATAAATATAAAATATTTAAGTGGATATATTTAGATTTTATGTTATATTATGTAATAACTATTTTATAATGTTATATATCTTCAGGGAAACTTATATTGAAAGAGAATCAGGTGAAAAGACAAATGATCGTAATGACAGAGCAATACGAGTGGCAGTTAAATGGTACAATACCCATTTGAACTCTGATGATAACATAAATATTGTTTTGTTAACAGACGATGTAGAAAATAAAACACGTGCAGCTGAAGAGGGACTATTTGTTGTATCGAGTAAAATATACTTTATTTTATTCTATTAAGTTGTATCATTTTGATATAAATGTGATATTTAGAATGATGCACTTACATCTTTTTCACAGTGGAAGATTATATCGCGTCATTGGAAAATGCAAATTATCTGTTGGATAAATTATCCAAACATTCTTATGCTTCGAATATTCAAGGCCCAGAATTATTTCCTTGTCATCTGCCACCTACTGAAATGCACAATGGAATATTATCTGGGAAACTGTTGCAAGGAATGTTTATGGCATCGAGGGAAAATTTTCTCGAAGGAAATGTGAATGTTGAAGGCAAAGAAAAACCTGTGAGATACATAATATTTAAATACATCATTAATATTGTCGATTTAAAAAAAAATTATTTAATGCCTTGGATAGTGATAATGAATAATCAAATACACTCAGGACACATAGGACATTATTTTGAAATCTTTTAAACTTTGAGTGTATCATATAGATATGAAATTGAAACTTTAAAAATATTTTTTGTTACATTATAAGACTTTTAAACTTCCTCATTATACATTAAGCATTATAATCACTTTTTTATTAAATTCGACAATGTGTATGTAATAATTGATTAGAAGTATTATTCTTTCTATTGTTTTATTGATTTAGATATTTGTGCAAGGACGAGCTCATCTCAACAGAGCAGTCGATGGTGATGTAGTTGCAGTTGAAATGCTACCGGATGATCAATGGTCATCACCTAGTGAAATTGTTTTGGAAGATGAAGAAAGTACAGATATTGACGACGATGCAGAAGATGAGAAAGTACTCCGCAAACAGAGTTCGTCAAAAATGCAAGAGAAAATACCAACAGGCAAAATTGTCGGTATTATTAGGAGAAAATGGAGACAATATTGTGGAATACTGCAGCCAAGTGCGATTAAAACAGTAAGAATCTTTTATATATGTTATGACATTATATTACAATCTTTTTATGCCTGTCCTATATTATTTTTATTATAGAATGTAAGGCACTTGTTTGTACCGGCTGAGAGAAAAATTCCAAAAATAAGAATTGAAACTAGACAGGCCGAGATACTGAGTAAGCAGAGAATTATTGTCGCACTGGATTCATGGCCACGAAATTCGAAATACCCGCTTGGTCATTTTGTACGAGCACTTGGTAATATAGGAGATAAAGAAACGGAGAATGAAGTATTACTCTTGGAACATGATGTTCCACACAGCCGTTTCTCTGATGCTGTTCTTAGTTTTCTTCCAAAGCTGCCATGGATTATTACGGAAGCAGTACGTACATATATTTAAAAAATTCGTTATTAGCTAATTATCTCAATTATTAATTACGTAAAAGGTAAATTATAATTTGAGTATAAATAATAATTAGATAAGAAAAAAACGTAACTCAGAATTGTACAGAATTGTAATAAAATATATACATATAACATACATTTTCATATATTTGTATAATATATACATTTTTGTAGGATGTTGCACAAAGGGAGGATCTTCGACATTTAGACATCTGTTCTGTGGATCCGCCAGGCTGTACTGATATTGACGATGCGTTACATTGTAGAAGTTTACCAAACGGTAATTTTGATGTTGGTGTGCATATCGCAGATGTGTCCCACTTTATAAGACCTGGGACTGCACTGGACAAAGAAGCAGCGTCACGCGCTACTACTGTATACCTTGTTGATAAACGTATCGATATGGTTCCAGGTAAGATAGCAACATTTCATTTTAAATATAATATAGACAATCGTAACATTAATTGTACAATATAAAATGTTTATTTCAGAATTACTTAGCTCGAATCTTTGTTCTTTGCGGGGTAAGGAAGAACGATTTGCGTTTTCCTGTATTTGGGAAATTGACTCTGACGCAAATATAATTGCTACAAGATTCTGCAAATCTATAATTTGCTCACGTCAAGCAATGACGTATGAGGAAGCTCAATTAAAAATTGACGATGTTACACAGCAGAATACTATCGCAAAGTCATTAAGAGGATTAAATCAGTTGGCAAAGAAATTTAAAAAAAGACGTCTAAAAAATGGGTATGATTATTTATAATTCAGATATAATATTTCTGGGACGAAACGCCAACTTGTGATATTCTTCGCAATATACTAAAATTAATTTATTAGAAGTGGTGACAATTTGGTTGTGGCTGTTGAGGACTTTGTAAAGTCGAAACTTTTCCGTATACCGGTGTTATTATATTATAATAAATTTATATATATATCTAACAACTAGTATAGCTCAATTTGTTCTTGATCTGGGAGGTTTATTAAATTTAATTTGAAAAATTTATTTGAGCGGATATTAATTTAATTTGGTTTATAATATTTCTATTAAATTATTTTAAATTGTACCGAATCATTTTTCGCAATAAACTGAACTTTTAATGTTAAATTTAAATTAATAATATTAAATTTAATATAAAGTAATTTATTTATTTGCAGTGCTTTAACTTTGGCATCACCGGAGATACGTTTCGAAGTAGATAGCGAAACACATGATCCTATTGATGTAGAAGCAAAAAAGTTGCGAGACACTAATTCTATGGTGGAGGAATTTATGCTGCTTGCAAACATTAGTGTTGCTAAAAAAATACTAGCAGAATTTCCAGAATGCGCTTTGTTGAGAAGACACCCTGAACCACCGCAAAGTAATTTTGAACCGTTGATTAAAGCTGCTAAAAATCAGGTATTTCCGTTCAGTATACAACTTTATATAATTTCAAGTTTAGTTAAAATTTAATACTTAAAAATTAAAAAATTGCTGAAAGTAATGATTTCTTTCGATTTTTGAGAATAAATATAACATATTATCACAGTGTTATCATTATATTATGTATTTATTATTTAATAGTGATATATATAATTATATAAAATATATTTTTTAAAATTAATTTTAAAGGGTTTTACTATTAATACAAACACCGGTAAGGAATTAGCCCTATCATTGGAGGAAACACATAAGGAATCAAATCCCTATTTCAACACCATGTTAAAAATACTAGCTACGCGATGTATGTTGCAAGCGATATATTTTATCAGTGGAATGCATCAACCAGAAGAATTTAAGCATTACGGATTGGCATGTCCGATTTACACGCATTTTACGTCTCCTATTCGAAGGCAAGTCATTTAAAAGCCATTAAGAGGCGTAATTATTAAATTAATTCACGATTTTTTAAATGTACCTTACAGATATGCAGACATAATTGTGCATCGACTATTAGCTGTATGTATAGGTGCCGACGCGACTTATCCGGAATTATTGGATAAGAAGAAGAATCACATGTTATGCCATAATCTGAATTATCGGAAACGAATGGCGCAATATGCTGGCCGAGCGTCAGTTGCACTTCATACACACGTTAGTTCGATTTATTATGAAGTTCTCTTTGATAATCTTTCTATCCTCAGATTTGAAATGTTTTTTTTAAACAAAATTGTTGCTTTCTGTTTCAGATATTTTTCCGTAACAGGATTCTAGATGAAGAAGGATATATTCTTTTTGTACGCAAAAACGCTTTGCAAATACTTATACCGAAATATGGTTTGGAAGGCACTTTGTATCTAAATAATTCTGCTTCACCACCTGTCACATTTATATACAATTCAGAGGATCAGTCCCAAACTTGTGGGGATGTTGTATTTCGAACATTTGACCCTGTTGTTATACAAATGAGTTTGGACAGTTCTAATGTACAACATGAAAAATTATTTTTTAAACTCGTAAAACCAGAGGTAAGGAAAAAGGAACGTGTGTGCGAGAACAAATCAGGATATTTGTACATTTTTAACGTTCTAATAATTTTTTATATAAATTACAGATTCCAAATTTTAGCGTTTCTTCGTTAAATATAAATTGCGACACCGAAAAAAATTCTACTGAGGAAACGTTGAAACGAAAGTCTGAAATACAGCAAGAGTCATCTAATGTTCATAATAAAAAAGCTAGAAAGAAAAAGAAGAAAAAGAATTAAGAATAGCAATTTTTTTAATGTAAAATGTAATGCAAATTATGTAATAATATACGCATTGATTTTTATAAAAATTTTATATTCTTTTGCTACTCTTTTTAACATTATTCACATCTTATAAAAAGTCTTTATAACAAGACAAAAAATTCTCAATAAATCATTCTTAGTTAATATTCCCACAGGAAACTTATATACATAATTACACAGACATAAATGCCTGATAATTCTTCTCATTGAATTATTACTAATTAATATTTTTGTTCTCATTCAAAATTTATTAAAAATACTTTACAATATAATGAAAAATAAAATTTTCATTGTGAAAAATTTAATGATAAGTAACAAATTTAATCTTGTACGATATAATTAGAATTTGAAAACTAAAACGAAAAATGAATGATTAAAATAGAAAAAATATCGTTTACTGAGCGTACTTGACATAAATGAGTCCGTTAACATATCTTTAATAATAAAAACGTTAAAAATAAAATCTAATTAATGAGTATAGTAAGATTCAGTTGTACGTAACACATTGAAACGGTGATGCATTTTTTATAAATACTGTAAAAACTTATTGCATGTATGGGTGTATATGTATGTGTATAGATAATGTGATCAAATTTTATAAATCATATGATCAAATAAAATCAATTTTAATTGAAGGCAGAAAAAAATATTAAAGGATGAGGTATATCCCCCCCCATGTATCAGATAAAAAAACTAAATTTAAAAGTATACTTTAAATTCGACTAGTACGATATAATAAATAATAAAAAAATTACTTAGTACCGATACAAATCAACGAATTGCTTTTCTTGTAATAATTCAATGAGAGAATGCTTGAGCAATATGTTGAATAAATTTGTGGCGCTTCTGACTGCAACATAATACTTGACGATCCTCTGAAAAGAGTAAATAATATATAATATAAATAAATCTAAACTTGAGAGAATAGAAGAAGATTTAAGTATATACCCATTTAATGTTTTGATAAAATCTTGAGTAGACCACAATCGTACGATTCCATCTAAGCTTGCACTGGCAATATATTGATTATCTAAACTCCAATCTACATTCATGATTGTATCTTTATGACCTTTCAGTTCAGTCAGTAAACCATTAGTTGCTAAATCCCATATAAATATGGACTTGTCATCACCTGAATAATGTTTTAAAGAATACTTTATTATAAATGTAATTTTGATAATTTATCTTATATTTTTTTCATATAATTACCTGCAGCAGCCAGATATTTGCCATCTGGACTAAAAGCTAAAGTATAAATAGTCGATTGCGCTCCAACATATACTCGCAATAGATTACCATCGTCTTTTGACCATAATCTTACAGTTTTATCAGCGGAACCGGTTGCTAAGTATCTTGCGTTTGGATGAAATTTTATGCACTAAATAAAAAATGTGTAAATTAAATCATCACCATACTATCATAAAATAAAAATAAGTAATGTAATGGTTAAAAGACATACATTGACATCTAAAAAATGACCAGCAAATATTCTCAAGGGAAATGTTCTATCCAATGACCATAATTTTGCAGTTCTGTCGTGTGAGCCTGTGGCGATATATAAATTGAACACACTGGTATCCATGCACCATATAGGATAGCTATGACCGCTGCAATGAGAAAAAGCATGATTAAAAATGCATATATGTTCTATCTGTAACATATTTTGTATGATTTATTCTTCTACTCGATCTTATTTTATAAAAAGTTGTGAACCTGCAGATACAAATATTCACTAAAACCAACGATACAGGGATTTTGATTTACAAAAGATTTACTTTGAAACATATAAGTTTATCTTTATTTGATTCGGTGAAAAATTTACTGTATGAAACGGACTGCGACTATTTGTGAAACTTACTTCTTCACGAATCTTTAGCCTACAGGAGACAGAAAAAAATTTACTGAAGAAATAATATTGCTTACCTATATATTGCTGTACATGAGTAATTGTTGAGTTTCCATGCTCTCATATCTTTGTCGCTCGATACAGAAAGAAGAATATCTACCTCTGGAATAAATCTTAAATCGTGTACTACATCTGTATGTCCTCTTAATACTATTGCCCCTGCTTCGCTTCTTCTATTACCATAAAATTATGTAATTGCTTAAAAAGATATTGTATTCAAATTAAAGAAAAAATATAACTTACATTGTGCTTTCTTGCTCATTGAATTTATAAAATGGTGATATATCACAGGTAGACGGAACACACTGTTTATCATTTTTCTTGACCAAAACTGTATCTCCTATAGCCCACAAACGTATTTCAGCTGTACTAAAACCTACAGCCAACTTGTCCATTTTAGGTGCAATAAGACCGCAACTTGCACTGCAATAATGTATAAATATATAATAAGATACAGGTAAAGATAAAAATTACATAAAATAAAGATGCTGTGTATTTGACTTTGCGGGTATGTTAAGTTAGCACCCCAACTATAGTGCTCAGGAGTTCTGATTAGAGTTCCCACTTCCTTTTGACAAGACGAAGAGTTCCCTATAGTTAATAACAAGAGCTCCGCTCAATAAACATTTTTTTTACATTTTTTAAAAATGGGGTGCTAACTTTTTATCAAATTTCGAGGTGGAATTTCTGAACGGCTTAACTGTAACAGCTTCAATTTGCGATTTCCTAGAGATCCTGATATGTAAAAAAAATTTTCGAATATTAAAAAAAAAATTAAAAATTTTTGAAAAATTAATTTTTAGATACAATAGTTCTGATGATAATTCCTGCTTCTTTTTGACGATACGAAGAGTTCTCTATGATTTTTAATGACATATGCGCTTAATAATCATTATTTAATAATTTTTTAAAAATGGGGTGCTAACTTTTTAACGAAATTCAAGGTCGCATAGTTCTGATCAGCTTAACAGAAGTATTTTGTGAATACCTAGAGTTCTTGATACATAAAAAACATTTTTGAAGAATAATAAAGTTTTAAAAAAATAGTAGAAATCTTTGAAAATTTTTTTGAGAGTACCGAGTAGTTATGAGTTGCGTTTCTTATAGTTCTCGACGAATTCTATCGAAAACTGTAAGGTGAAAAAGTGATTGGACCAACGGTTTGCAAGATACAGCGACATTTGTCAGAAGATCAACAATT